TACTAAACTGATCAGAACAGAATGACAAAGGTATTTTAAGTCTTTAAGACCAGACAATAGGGAAATCAACAGTGGCTGCCATAATGTCTCTCATTCTCTTCAAAATAGCTGTTCATATCTTTAAGTATGTTGAAATTAAACAAAAGAAAATAGACTAATATCACTCTGAACAGAGAATAATAGTACTGCTAGATTTGATATCATAACACTACAGAATTAGCACTGGGTATCTTACTCTTCTTCAGAGTATTTGTTCATTACATTGTGCATTATACAATTTATTCTTGTAAACTGTTTAGAAGTTCTCACATGCATGAATCTCTACATGTATATCTATCGTTTCTGTATTATAGGGAAAAACATCAAAACAAGACAACAAAACAAATTCCTAGAAAAATATGAAATGAAAAAACATATAAAACCACAATATTAGGTGATCTACAGTAGTTACTATGATGTCTCTTGTTATTTTCAATAGAATTGCCTATATCATCAGGCATAATATAATTGAACATAGTACTACATAGTAATATTAATCAAAACACAACATTGGAAACATTGTAGGACTTCAAAAGCAGTTAATAATCAAAATAGGGTATCCTATTGCATCTTGTCATCTTCAGAGTAGTTGCCTCTACTCTTAGACCTGATACTATCAAGCATACCAAATTCGAATAAAATCAGTCAAGACAAAACAGCAATCTAACAAACCCGATTCAAATAAGATCAGTCATAGTAAGACAGTGTAAGTGATACAGGGCTTCAGTTTAAGTTAATAGGAAATTAAGGATAGTTACTATAGTATATCCTGCTGTTTTGGGGATAGCTGTCTGTGCCCTCAAATCTAGTACAAGTAAACAGACTGGAACAGAATAAAGTCAAACTAAACAGAGCGATAAGACTAATATGGCTTTTAAATCCTGATACACTATTAACAATGTCCTCTGCCTTATTTTTTTAAACAATTCCTTCCCTTTCGCTTCCTCAGGGTGCTTTGTGCATTTTGGGTCCCACTAACTCCTTTAGTTTTTAGATTAAAGGGGCAACCTGTTATCTACCTAAGCAGTCTGAACCTTTTTACCCCTGAGCTTGATCTTGAGCTGTATTCCTTTACCTACTAAAGCTTCAAGCTTTTCCTTCCTTATAGCTGAGTAGCTCTCCACTGCACAAAAATGTCATGACTTTCCAACCTATCTGCAGCTGCTGGATGAGCTGCCCCTATTTCTCTCTGGTTCCCTGTCACATAGAGCATTGTTTTCTTATCTTTGATTTTTGGTTCATTAACCCTCTTTCAGGTTGATTATATTTCCTATTCAAAGCATCTCAATGGATCCTATTTCCTAATCTACTCTGCCTGTATTTCTTTTTGTTAGTGTATCAGGGCTATCTATGTTAGAGATTATAGCCAACTTTCTCTGCTATGCTATTTTTCTGCTGTTGATTGTCTACTTTTCTCCTTCATTTGACTGTCTGCCCCATTCATTGAGGCCTCTCTGCCACAGTTGCTGGAATCGGTGTTTTTTTCTCTCTCTCTAGAATGACCATCAGTATTTTTTGTAGGGTTGGATTGGTGGTCATGAACTCCCATGGTTCCTCTTTGTCATGGAAACATCTTGTTTCTCCATTAATTTTGAGAGACAGTTTTTCAGGGTACATAAATCTGGGTTGGAGGTTATTTTCTTTCAGGGCTTGGAATATTTTGCTCCAAGCTCTTCTTGTTTTGGTAGTTTGTGTTGAGAACTCTGTCGTGATATTGATGGGTTTTCTTTTATAAGTGATCTGTTTCTTTTCTCTGACCATTTTTAATATTCTGTTCTTGTGTTGAATTTCTGAGATCTTGGTTATTATATGTCTGGGTGTAGATCTGTTTTGGTTATAATTGGCTGGAATTCTGTATGCCTCATTTATCTGGATATCATTTCCTTTTCCTATGCTTGGGAAGTTTTCCTTAATTTTTTCTGTGAATAGCCTTTGTAATTCATTTGTGTTTACTCCTGCTTCTTTGCTCACATTTTTTACTCTTAAGTTATAGATCCTCTTGTCGTCTTCTACCATTTGTGTTGTTACTTCCTGGTTCCTTGCTATTTTTAAGAGATCTTTCCTTCCACGATCACATGTTGCAAATCTATCTTCAGGTTTTGAAAGTCTAACTTTAGTTTCTGTCAAGGAATTTTGCCAGCTTTCAATAGAGTTTTTAATTTCTTGGTAATCTCTCTGAATCTGTTTCATGTATTCTAGGTTTTGTTTATATTCTTCATCCAAGGTTTCTCTCCTTTTTCTGGGTTCCTCCATTTTTCCATGTGTCTTCTTGAGAGGTGCTTAGCATTTCTTTTATTAATCTTTTTATATCTTGCCTCATTTGAATTAGAATTTCAGTTTTAAGTTCATCTGTGAGGTCACAAAAGTATTTCTTTATTTCTGCTGATGCTGTGGCCAATATTGCATGATTACTACCCTCGATCTCTTCTGTATTTACCTGTCCTGGACTTATTTTCCCCAGGTCAGTGGCTGGAGGCTTTTTCTTATTTCTTTCTCTTGTCACGTTTCTGGTTTCTTTCATACAGGTATATGGTGGAGGTTTCAGGCCCTCTCTGGAGTGCTTATGGTTTTTCTGAAGTGTGCTGGCTGGGGGCTTGCAGCCCTCTCCAGTTTACTTTTATCTGAAGTGTATGCAGGGGTGATGTGGGCTGGCCCCTCTCCTCTGAGCTAGTCAACTGGCAAGTGTCTTCAGCATGTTAGTCTGTGCCATGCAGATGTCAAAGGTTTGAGATAGTTTCAACCCTGGCTATTGGGTCCTGACCAGGGGTGTGACCCCACCCAAGCAGGTCCCACCAGTCTTCTTTGAGCCAGGGGTGGCTGACTGATGCCACTGCAGTTCTGGGTTCAGGCCCTTCCCTCCCAACTCCGATATGTTGTCCAGCCGGTCACCCATCTGCGGGACCCAGTTCCTAGCACTCCCCACAGGTTAATGTAGCTCTCCCCATTGGTTCTGCTCTCCATTGTGCCACATCCTCCCACCAAGAGCCCTGGGCTCACCAACTCCCGATTTTGGCAACCGCATCTTCAGCGCCACCATGAGTAATCTGACTCCAGGGTGTGCCAAGCACAGCACAGGACTGGCTCCAGTGAGGGCATCTGGTTCCAGCCTATCGTCCACATTTTTCCTTCCTTTCTTTCTTTTTTTTTTTTTTTCTTTTCTTTTTCCTCAGTTTCTTCCTGAGTCGTGAGAATGCCTCTCCTTTTGTCTGGTCTTCTGTATGGTGTTAAATTCTAGCGTCTGATTTGTTTTTCTCAGAGATGCTCTCTTCCCTGCTACCTATCAAGCCACCATCTTCTTTCTCACTCAAGAGCTGTATCTTAAATTGTGCAAAATACTGGTATTAAAGAATGCGGAAACTTTTTGTTACTTAAAAGTTAATCAGAGTATTTGAAAGGAACTGTTTTTATAAACACATTAAAATATTATTATAAATAAATTTTTATATCGTTAGGCTGTTATATTTCCTTTTGTAAAGTAACATGTGTCCAAAGGAGTTAAAGTGTGGGTAATTTTAACAATTCTAAACCACAAAGAATGCTTTATAAGTGTATCCAGGAATGTACCAGAGTCAGAGTTAACATCCCCTTCCAGATTAGCTGGTCTCTTTATTGGACAGTGTGCATTATGAAGACAACTAGAACATTAGAGCTGCTTTCATAGCCACAGGTTTGCCTTTCCAATCTGTACTTTGTCCTTGTAGGAGATTTGCTCCTAGAACTCATGGCATGAGCAATTTGAAAGGGCAAACTATATAAGGTAGAAGTGTGATGATACAGTTCTAAGGTAAAAAGTTGTATTCACATCATTTGACTTGCCATGTATATGAATCTAAAATGCCTTCCTGGTCTTTATTCTAGACTGACTTCCCTTCTAAAGCATGGAGATTCCACTTATCCCTAACCTGATGTACACTACCATGGCTTGTGCTACAAGTGCCCATAATTCTTAACAATTTTCATTCTGAATCTGAAAGGCAGGATCTTTTAATTAAAGAGTGTACCAAGGAGGCTTTATATACCTCAAAAGTGCCCTCAAATTTTTCTTTTTAAAAATTCTCTGCCTTGGGGCTGGGGATTTAGCTCAGCGGCATAAGCACCTGCCTTGCAAGCAGGCAGTCGTAAATTCAATCCCTGGTACCGATAAAAACGAAAAAGACAAAAAAATTCTCTGCCTTGTTTGGTAGTGGAGGGGTCTATACTAGTCTTACATACTTTTTCCTGTGATTAAGTCTTCAGCTTATTATAAATGATACCTAAATTCTAAGAAGCCAATTCTTTGTGTTCCAGCATAACTTTAATGAAAATTAAGGAAATAAACTTTTGTCTATTTTGTTGGAATGGGATTTTAAAAACAAAGTAGAAAGAAGATACCTTTCAAAATGGAAGTTTAGGGGCTAGGGATTTAGCTCAATGGCATAAGCACCTGCCTGGCAAGTACAAGGTCATGAGCTTGATACCTGGTACAAAAAAAAAAAAAAAAATGGAAGATTAACTTTAACCTTAAATTAGGTTCTTGTTACTGCTAATACTGTCTTTGCATAAACAAACTTTTTTTCAAAAGTAAAAACAAATTATCTTTATACCAAAGTGGCATATTTGGGGATGTCATATTCTGATCCTTTGTGACAAAATTGGGATGTAGCAGAGGCCGCCACACTTTTGGCAAAATAGTCATAAGCATACATATTCTCAGTAATAACTCTTTAATAAATCTCTGTGCCATTTATTATAGAACTTTGGAAAAATCATTTAGTGTCCTTCAGTGTCTATTAAATGGACAGAAGTTGAGGCAGGGGTATAAAGAGATATCAGTGAATGGTAAGCCTTCTCGTTCTGTACTATGTTAATAAGAGAGTCCCTATCTTGACCAAAATCCAAGCAACAAGAAAGTCTAAAAATTCTATCACAGACTAGAAAACATTGAAAAATTCTTATGACTTCCTTGTGCTTTGTTTCTCCAGAACAAGAAAATTTCCACTGCCTCTGTGAGCATATTAAAAAATAACAAACCAAGTATCACACCAAAGTTTCCACCGTTCCATTTCCCTTCGTCCTTCTCTGACCCCATCGGAATGGTGTTCCATCCCCGAAGCCACCTTCTGTATGCTTATGGAAATCAGGTGTGTATTAATGAAATTTCTCCTGTGGCAAGGAGTTAATCATCTGCTCACTTTCTACTGAGTGGTTGTACATAAAGAACAGAGCTGTTCTAATAATTGAGAGGTAGAAGTCACTCTAAATGACTTAGATTTTTGCCATTAACCCATTTAAATTGTTTATATCTGGCACTTCCACTATTTAACATTAGCCTTTATTTGACTTTGACTAAGCCTGACTTTCTGACTGTCATTCTTCATATTCTGGCTGGTACCATCCTCCATCCTCTGTCAGTTCTGTATCAGTAGCCTAAAAGCTGGAGGAAAGAGTCCCAGTGGCACATCTGGGCCATCAGACAGTTTAAAAGTAAGGGGCGAAAAATAAGAAACATTAACTAAACTTCAAAACTAAAAAATTACTGCAAAGACTTCCAATGACAGTAACAAGTTAAACTTCTCAGTGACGTTTCTCAAAAACAATAAGGAAATTAAAATTAAGATAGCTACAGTTTGGTTGACAGAGAGCAAATTTTTCTGTGGAACCAGGGACCACACTTAACAGGTTGTAATTAAGTGTTACACCAAAGGTTCTTCAGTTTTTAATGTCCAAATAAAGAATGTGAACAGGATATTTCAAAGACTGCAGATATTGACAGTTTTCATTTCTACAACTTCTGCTGACTTGCTATGTCAAAAGATTTATTCCTTACTGAAAACTCCTTAAAATAGCCCTCTAGCTAATGAACATATGCAGCCCAATGTCTGGGAAAAGCCTTCAGCACTGTTCTAAATTCATTTAAAACAACTTGGATAACTAACAGAATCAATCTAAAATTGTTGAAAACAAGTTATAATACTTTAAACTACATTTTTTTCTTCAAAGCCAGTACTTATTACCAACAGCTTACCTTAGGTTTCTAACTCAGCCTGTCTTGTGATTTGCAAATATATTTTTCACTAGAATAAAAACTGTCTTTTATTTTAATTTTATATATGATTTCTTCTCATTTTATAGTCTCTATTCTTTGTACGGTTTAGAGATTTGTATAGATGATAGTCTTTCTAGTTCTATTTGAAGCTCCCTTCCTTTTTTAGTTTTTATACTCACTGTTTGGAATCTCTGATTTCTCCTTTAACCTTGAAGTTTAATTCCCTCCTACCAGTTTCTTTGTTATATGAGCTTCTTAGTTACTACTCTTCCTGAGAGGCCAAAATTCCCAACGTCTACAATTTAAGTTTATTTTGGCTCAATTCATAGTCAGCTGGCTCCAAGGTAGGTCAGTATTACACAAAGACATGGCATAGGAGGAACAATCCATAGCAAAGCAGGCAGGAAACCGTGAAGCAGCAAGCAGCAGCATCAAGGCTGCCTTCCCTCTCTCCCACTATCAGCCATCCAGGCTACAAACCGATTAATTGGTGACACCCGCACCCAGGGTGTGGAGTCCATTATCTACACCTGTAGTTATGCTAGACCAGTGAGTGAACCACTTTAGTACCAGTCACCCTTAATCCCTAGATCCAGACAGCTCTGAAAAGTCCTACCGATGGGTACATGAGACTTCGGAGGAAGCTCTAGATGTAAGCTATAATATCTAGATAAAAACCATGACAATAAGGCATGCCATTTGCATTCTTCTGTGGCCATGTTGATTTACACATAGAACAGGCAACTACCTAAATGGCATTTCTAGGCATACCATTCTTCCAGTCTGCATTTCATGTGCTTTTTCTAACTTTCCGCAGCTATTAAGTGTAACATTTTTCTGTGTTTTTTTCTTCAAAATGGCTTCTTTGTTGTCTTCTGTTCTGGAATTCTTTGGGCCCATCAATTGAAAACTAATGATTGAGTAAGGAATTACTGTTCTTTAACTTAGTGGTTAAAAAGTATGTAGGTCAGGGGCCAGGGATTTAACTCAGCGGCATAAGCACCAGCCGTGCAAGCGCACAGTCATGAGTTTGATCCCCAGAACCAAAAAAAATAAAAATAAAAAGTATGTAGAGCAGAAATACCGCTAGTATTTTACATGTCAAAATTTTTCATTTATTGTGTGCATTGGCTGTGGGTAATAAATAAAGCTAAACATTTTTTTTTATTTTAAAGAGAATAAAACAGAACATAACTGAGCAGAGTAAAACAATGCAAATAGCACCGTATTTCAGAAAAACACAACAGGATTTTTTTGTAATAGAGATCAAACTCATAATCTTATGCTTGCCAAGCAGATGTTTATGCTACTGAGCTAATCCCCAGCCCATTAAAGCTAACTTTAAGTTAAAGCTAAGAAATGAGATGAGCAGTTGAATATGAGGAGTTCAGAGATGAGAATAACTTGTAGAAACAGATGAACAGTAACTAAGACTAATCTGAGTCTGGTAGAGTTGACAATATTGGCCCATTTAGATGAGAACATAAACTACAATAAGAATATTTTGTACATTTTGAAGACAAGTGTGTCTACAAAACAAAATCTAAGGAAACATTCTCATAGGAATGCTCAGAGATCAGGAATAAATTGTGTTGATTTACTATTTCAATGGGCTTGTAATCTATTTAATTTCAAAGTTTACCTGCATTATTATGAATAGTTTAGATATTTTTATTAATGTAACACCTGCAGAAGTCTTATTATTATGTTCAGTGCTTTGAAAATGGCCTACAAGGGCCAGACTGTGGCATAGAAAAAATATAGAGGTCAACTCTGTTGAGATTTATGAAGAGCCTTTACCATAGCAGGCAAACACTTTTTAATTTTGACCCATTGGATGATATGATGATTTCTGACAGATATTGTTAAGTATAAGAATTTATCTCCTTCCACTTGCTAACAAAGTCCTGAGGAGCTCATTGTTGACATTTAAAACAGCTGTCTCAGTAGAGTGATGCTAATTAGATTGCTTAGAGCAAGCAGTTGCATGCGCATGAAATTTCACAGTCTAGTAAAGGCATAAGTTGTCCACTTCCTCCTAATTAAAGAACAGAGTCACCCTGGGGGTTGGGGAGGTAGAAAGTCTGAGGAGAAAACATGGGGAAAAGGATCAAGACACAGTTAACACAAACAAATCTTTTACAAAGTCTTGTTGAAGAGTGAAGCATCCATAGGTAATATTTAAAGAGGAAAAAGAGATCAAGAAATAGAATAGTGTTTTTAAACAAATATAGAAATAATCATGCTGTATGTTGATGAGGATTATTCAGCAGAGAAGGTCTGGTGGTGCACACCTGTAATCCAGTACTCAGGAGGCTTTTGAAGCAGAATCACTGCGAGTTCATGGCCAGACTGAGCTACATGGTGGGTTTAAGGTCAGTCTGTACTGCATAGCAAGATTCTATCTCAAAACAAAAGCTTATAGAACTGCAAAGAGAAATACATGGCATTCTTACATCTGAAGACATTAACACACCTCTATCAGAAATGGACTGATATAGCAGGTGGAGAATCAATAAGGATATATTGAATTCAGCAACACCATCAGTCAAGTATATGTAATGACATTTATAGACTATAAAAAAACAGAAGAATACAAATCCTTCTTACATGAAACAGTCAACAAAACGGACCATATTGCCAGATGCCTCAAACATGAACTTCTGTGTCAATGTGGAATAAACTCCCTCCACCATAAGTAAATATACCAACTATCTTAGTTACTTTTCTCTGATTGCTGAACTAAAATACCCAACACTCAAAATTAAAAGAGGAAAGGTTTATTTGACTCACAGTTTGTAGGGGTTTCAGTCCATAGTTGGCTGGGGTCCAAGATAAACTGGCATGGCAGACAAGCATCACAGAAGAGAAACAGAAAATGGTGGGCACGGTGGGCAGAAGATAGCAGCAAAGCAACAAGGGAATCGCAGCTCTTTCTCGCCCTTATATCTCATCCAGACTACTTAGGGCAGATAGCACTCACACCCTTAACTCCAGTGTCCTTATCTCAGCATTGCGCTGTGAATCGATTCCAGTGTGATACACTGTGTATACAGCCACCTCTGAAAAGGCCCCATCTGTGCCCCCTCTGCTTTAGGGGGACATCCACACACAGCTATAATAATACCAACATTTCAACATTTTATGAACAGTGGAACTCCATTTTGTAAAATGAGGGAAATAAATGTTCTTTTATACATTCACCATGCATACTGGGCGGAACTGACACTCGACCATGAGCACTAAAACAGACTCTAGAATGGAAATACTGCAGAGGTTAGACCAGGCAGGCAAGGAGTCTGTGCCCCTGTATGTATGAATGTGTTTAATAGATGTGGAGAAAATGGGAAAGATCATTCCATATACCTTTTCTTTGTAGGAAGAATAGACTGACTGTCCATGAGAGCTCTTTAGGAAAATATTATCTCTTTATTCCTTTAGGTATGGCTTTCAGTGGATGGTGGCAACACATTTAAATTAATAGCTGACTTTTATGGAGATAAAATAAAGACAACTCATCATTGTTTTTATACTTCAGATGTTATTTTTGTTTCCCAAAGTGGGAAAGTTTACTTGACGAAGGCAGGTAAGGAATTTACTTTATTGATCTAAGCACTACATGCAGACTAGGGGTTAAAAAACATATGAAATACAGCCTTATTAATCAGCTAGTCCTTATGGTCTCAGTCAGATGAAAACAGAATCAAATTCAATGGTTAGTTTCAATATTGACCTTATGAGGAAATTTGATTTGGTTCTTGTCCAGTTCAATTTACAACCAGAATCATGGAGAGAATTGAGTTGGTCACACCAAGTTACTACTGTACCTATCTTTTTTTAAAGTTCTTTATACTTTGGGTTTTTCATGTAAAACAAGTTATGCAATATTTAAGTTTGTGTGTCTGATTTATTTCATTCAGCATTATGGTCTCTGGGTGCCTCCATTTTCCAAAACATTACACAAATTTGTCCTTCTTTATGGCAGAGTAATGCTCCACTGTGTGTAAATACATTTTGTGTATTAATTCATCTGTTGATCATCTGTTTTCAAGATTTAGTTATCATGAGTTGTGCTGCTATAAACATAAATGTACATGTATTTCTGTGATCATGATATCAAGAAGGGGAATAGTGAGGTAGAATGGAATTTCTACTTTATGTTTTCTGAGACATCTCCATATACTGATATCCAAAATGGTTTTATCAGTTTACATTTCCTCTAACAAAGCAGAGTTTCTTTTTCCTTACAACCTTGCCCCCATTTGCTATTGTTTTCTTTATGACAGCCATTCTTTCTAGAGTAAGATAAAACCTGTTGAACATTTTTTACATATTTATGGGTCTCTTTTATACTTCCGAGAAGTGTCTGTTCATTTCAGTTATCCATTTTTAATTGGTTCTTTTATTTTGGGAAGTGTAATTTTTTTAAGTTCTTTATAAATTCTAGATACTAGAGGAGCAACTGACAAAAATACTGATCCACTCTATAGGTTGTCTTTTCATTCTGTGGATGGTTTCCTTTGCTATACAGAAGTGTTTAAATTTGATATCCCATTTGTTGATTCTTGATGTTATTTCTCATACAATTAGTTCTGTTTAGAAAATCCTTGCACTTGTCTGTGCCCTTGTCTTCAAGAGTTTTACCTATTTTATCTTCCAGCAGATTGTTTTTGTTTCAATATCAATGTCGTTGATTCATTTTAATTTTATTTTGGTACATGCTGGTAGATATTGGTCTAGAGTCAATCTTCTGCATGTGTACAAGCAATTATCCCAACACTAATTGTTAAAAGAGGCTATCTTTCCTCCAGCATATGTTTGTGGTCCCTTTGTCAAAGGTCAGGTGCCTTAATGTGCCTAAAGATGTTTCTTCATGTTCTCTTCTGTGTTACTGATTCTCACGTCTATTTTAGTGCCAGTACTATGCCAGTTTTATCACTGTAGCTTTGCAGTATAACTTGAAATCCAAAATTATGGTGCTTCTTGCTTTGTTTTTGTTAACCAGAATATGTTTTGCTATTGTGAGTCTCTTCTAGATCCACATAAAATTAGGATAATTTTTTCTAGCTCTGTGTGGAATACTTTTGGTATTCTGACTGGGATTGCATTAAATCTATATGTCAATTTTGATAATTTGATTATTTTGACAGTGTTGGTTCTACCTATCCAGGAACAGAGAGTTTTTTCTTTCTTTCTTTCTTTCTTTTTTTTTTTTTTTTTTTTTTTTGTTAAGACGGGGTCTCATTCAGACTGGCATGGAATTCACTACATAGCCTAGGCTGGCTACAAACTCACAGTGGTCCTCCTGCCTCAGACTCCCTAGTGCTTGGATTACATGTGTGCACCACTATACCCAGCCATCTTTTCATTTTCTGATGTGCTCTTTAATCTCCTTTTTTGGAGCACTACAGATTTAACTGTAGAAACTTTTCACTTCCTTGGTTAGGTTAATTCCTAAATCTCATTTTTCTTGATACTATTGTGAATGGTATTGCTTTCCTAATTTCTTTTTCAGTAAGTTTACTATTGATTTTTGTACATTGATTTTTCTGAATTTATGAGTTCTAGAAGTCTTTTGGTAGAATTTTTTGGATCTTCTATGTAGAAGGTGATGTCATCTGCAAATTAGGATAATTTGACCTTTTCCTTTACTATACTTATCTTTTTTATTTTTTTCTCTTGTCTGATTGCTCTGGGTAACGTTTTGAGAACTATATTGAACAGAAGCAGTAAGAATGGAAATCTTTGCCATGTCCACTATTTTAGAGAAAAATTGATCAGCTTTTCTTCATTTAATATGATGTTGGCAGTAAATTCATCATAAATGGTTTTTATCAGGTTGAGATAAAGTCTTTCTATACCTATTTTCTTCAAGGTTTTTTTCATGATTAGATGTTGGATTTGTCAAAAAATTTTGCTGAATCTATTGATATAATTGTATATTTTTCCCCTTTTTGTTTGTATGACGTGTTACATTTATTTGCATATTTTGAATTATCCTGGTATCCCTGCAATGAAGCCTACTTAGTCATGATATATGATCTTTTTGATGATTTGTTGCATTCTCTTCGCCAGTATCTTGTTGAGGATTTTTATGTCTACGCTCATTAAAGAGACTGACCTGTAGCTTTGTTAGATAAGTTTTTATCGGGGTTTTTTTTTTCTTTTTCGTTTTTATCGGAACCAGGGATCGAACTCACGACTGCCTGCGCTTGCAAGTCAGGCGCTTATGCCGCTGAGCTAAATCCCCAGCCCCTATTGGGTTTTGAAATCAGTGTAATATTAGCTTCTGGGAATGAATTAGATGTACTTCTTCCTTTTCAGTTTCGCTAAAAAGTTTTAGGCATGTTGGCATTATATCTTCCTTGAAGTTCTGATTGAACTCAGCAGTGAATTCTACAGGGCTTTTCTTAATTCATGGGATTTTTATTATTGCCTCAATTTTAGTCCCTGTTAGTGGATAGTTGAGACTTTTTTTGTCTTCTTGGTTCAGTTTTGGTAATTCAAATATGTCTAGGAATCTGTCCATTTCTTTAAGATTTTCTGATTAGTTACAATACAGTTTTTCTTGTGTTTTTACTTTTTTTAATTGTAAAGAGGAAAAAAAGCAAAACAGGAAAAAGGGTAGAAATAATGCATAATTTCAAAAAAATAAACACTAAGAAATCACTAGTTGATAAATTACATACTTTCTATTAGAAATAGTTGTTCAAGTTACAGAATTAAAGCATACAAAGTGGACATTCAAACAGTGAGACTGCAAACAATTCTGCTCAACAATCCAACAAAAACTTATGGTCATAAGATATGGTCATCGATCTTACACACTTAAACATACATGCAGTTATATCTTTTAGAGCACTTTCTTTTCCTCTTTTTTATTATAGCAATTATACATTATGGGTTTTATTTCTCCTACAGTTCTTATTTCTTTTTACATTAGAGACAATGTGATATCTATAAATATGATTCTGACTTATTTCACTTATGAGGATAGTTTCAAGTTGCTTCCATTTACCTATGAAGGCCTCAAGATCATCCTTTTTATAGCTGAGTAATATTCCATTGTATCAAAATACCACATCTTTTTCATCCACTCTGCAGTTGATGGGAATTTGGGCTGTTTCCAAGATTTAGCTATTACAAATTGTGCTGCTATGAATGGGTACACATATATCACTGTGACATGAACTTTTCAGTTTTTCTGGGAAAATACCCAGGAGAGGAATAGCTGGGTTGAATGGAACTTCCAATCCTAGTCTTCTGAGAAATCTCCATAGTGATTTCCATAGTGGCTGCACCAGTCTACACTCCCACCAACAATGGATCAGTGTCGTGTCCCCCCCCCCTTCGCCAACATTTGTTACCAGTTGATTTCTTGATGGCAACTATTCTTTCCGGGGTGAGATGAAATCTCAATGCTGTTTTAATCTGCATTTCTTCAATGACCAGTGATGGTAAACATTTCTTCATGTATTTATTTGCCATTTGTATATCTTCATCGAAGAAATGTGTGTTCATCTCAGATGCCCATTTTTGGAGAGGGACTTTGAATTTGGGAGGCTTAATGTTTTTCAATTCTTTGTATGTTCTGTATATAAGTCCTTTGTCTGAGGGGTTGCTAGCTAAAATTCTTTCCCATTCTGTGGATTTTCTTTTCACTCTGTTGGTGATGTCTTTTGAAATGCAGAAACTTTTCAATAATATGAGGTCCCACTGTTGATTCTTTGAAGTGTTTCCCGTGCAGTTTGCATTTTGTTCGTGAATTCTCTGTCTACCCCTATGACTCCAAGATTTCTACCTACAGTAGATTTAGTGTTTCTGTTTTAATATTTAGTTAAATATTTTAATATTTAATCTACATACAGTAGATTTAGTGTTTCTGTTTTAATATTTAGGTCTTTGATCCATTTAGACTTTAGTTTTGTGCATGGGGATAGGCACGGATCTAGTTTCAGTCTTTGGCATGTGGAGAGCCAGTTTATCCAATATCATTTATTAAAGAGGCTATCCTTCTTCCAGTGAGCATTTTTAGCCCCTTTGTCAAATATCAGGCGGCTGAGTGTCCTTGTAGTTGTGTTTGCATCTTGTAATCTGTTCCATTGGTCCTCAGGTCTATTTCTTTGCCAGTACCATGCTGATTTTATCACTGTGGCTTTGTAGTAGTTTCAAGTCAGGAATTGAGATTCCTCCTGTCTTGCCTTTGTTGCTCAGAATTGCCTTTGCCATTCTAGGTTTCTTCAATTTCCTAATGAATTTTAGGAACGTTTTCTCTAAATCTGTGAGGTATGGTTAATGGTATGTTGATTGGAATTGCATTAAATCTAATACAGTTTTTCTTAATAGTTACTTACTAATGATCCCTGAATCTCAGCATTGTGATTTTGCCTTTTTCTTTATAATTGTATTGATACAACTCTTCTCTTTACTTCTTTTGGTAAGTTTGACGACGTATTTGTCTATTTTGTTTATTCTTTCAAAGAACCAGCCCTTTGATTCATTGATTCTTTGGTTTTTTTTTGGGGGGGGGGTGTTTGTTTATGGGTTTTTTTCATTTTGGTCTCAATTTCATTAAATTGTGCTCTA